GTGAGTATCGATGTAGGAGTTTTATTCTAAAAAGGAATATTTTAAGGATAAAATAGTAAAAATATTAGTCAAAAATTAAAGTGCTTATAAGCTATAAATTCATAAGTTGGGGTGATTACCTCATGGCTTTTGGCTTATTTTTGAATTATAAGCACTTGGTTTATAAGCACTTTTAATTTTACTAAACGCGTAGATAAGCCAAAAAGTGTTTAGAAACTAGTTTGACCTGCTTATAAGCTTAGCCAAACACTCTCTAAGTCCGTATATATTGTACTTACATAATTAATCCAATTATATTAGCCCAATAAATTTATTTGGACTAAAATATCTTGAATTTAAAATATAATACATATTATTTTATCGATTTAAATTCAATAAAATTTAAATGCCTACCACACCATGAAAAAGCAGTCACAACTCACCCTAAACACCACCCAAAACCAGCTGAAAAATACCACAAAAATAAGCTGAAACTTCACCATTAAACAACTGCTTTAACACGTGAAACCACTGTCCAAACCCAGCCAAGTCGAGATTATCGTTTGAGCTCTGGTTCAAGCCAAAAGTAGATGCTTCTCTTGGATTGGATAAAGCTCTAAATAAGGTCGACTTCTATGTTGTTCCTTCATCATTAAAGCATTTAGCTCTTAGCGCTAGAGTCAGAGTCAAGATTTAAAGTTTGTGGGTTCAAGGTTAATTCTAGCTCGTTTATGTTACTGAGTTCTAAATTAATAATTTGTACATGTTCATTGCATTTTTAAAAACAAATATAGGATTTAGAACAAAGTTACTGGTTGAGCCGAACTCGCAAATCGATTATGATTTGCTCCGCCCTGCTTAGCGCGGGGAGGAGGGTTCTGGTATTTTAGTGGGGGATGAAGATTACAGGGGTCCGAGATTTCTAATGGTATATTTAGGTAGAAGATGAAGAGTTATGGGGAAGCACGCACGGTCTTTAAGCTTGGCCTGTTTGGTTGCGCAACATTTTACGCTTGCTAATTCCATCCCTTTGTTTTTTTCAATCTTCTCTGCATTAATTATATTTTCTCGTCTCTTTAGCCAATTGATTGATTGGTCAATGTGGTAAGAAGACTTGTATTGTACCTTAGGGTTTGCATGCGGATGATGGATCTCTACTTTTGGATTTGAGGCTTGGCCCAGTTTGTTGAAGTGGACGCAAAGTTGCACAAATAGCAGTTTTTAGCCCCCCCCCCCCCCC